ATATACATATATATATATATATATATATATATATATATATATATATATGTGGTGGTGGTATATATACAGTGTGGTGGGTCTGTGACTGCAGAAATCCACCACCAGCTCCTTAGTTTTAGCAGCATTGATCAGGATGTGGTTCTGCTGGCACCAGTCCACAAAGTCTTGAATCTGCTGTCTGTACTCTGAGTCGTCCTCACCTGTGATGAGGCCGACTATGGCAGAGTCATCAGAGAACTTTTGCAGATGGCAGCGTAGGGAGTTGATGGTGAAGTCTGCAGTGTAGAGGGTGAAGAGTGGGACCCCTGTACTACAGACCAGCTTGTCAGAGACACAGTCCTGTGTCCTCACATACGTGGGTGTCCAGTGAGGTAATCCAGTATCCACTGGGACATGTGGTGATCTGCTCCTGATAACTCCAGCTTGTCCCACAGAAGTCCTGGCTGGATGATGTTGAAAGCACTGGAGAAATAAAAGAACATGATCCTCTCAGTGCTTCCAGGTTTCTCCAGGTGGGTCAGAGCTTCGTGCCTGAGGTATATTATGGCATCATCCACCCCGATGCAGGCTGGTAGGCAAACTGCAATGGATCCAACGAAGACCTCACCATGTGGCGCAAATTGTTGAGGACCAGCCTCTCGAGTGTGTTCATCAAATGTGAGGTCAGAGCCACCGGCCTGTAGTTACTGGTCTTCCACAGTTGTAGTACTTTCCCCAACTTCAGGCTCAGATTGAACATAAATCCCATGATGCCACACATTTGATCTGAGCAGCACCTCAGGAGCCTGGAGCTGATTCCATCTGGACCTGTAGCTTTACGCACCTTGATCATTCGCAGCTCACTCCTCACCTGAAGAGTTGAGATGGACAAGATGGTATGGTATGGTATAAAGTTTATTCATTTTAAAAAGGTACAAAACAATTACATAACAATATAAAGAAAGATACAAAAGATTTAAAATGAAAGGCAGCAGAAAGAAGAAAAAAAATTATTATATCTGCCCCTTTTTCAAACAATTATTTCAAGCATAATAATTTTCAAGTAACAGAACAAAATGAATAACTCTTTCTAATTTTTCTAATTCTAATACAAAACACACACTAAGCTACTTCATATATACTAGATGGAGGTGGGGGAAGGGTGCTGTGTGGTGAAGTTTCCTGGAATGAAGGGGGGGAGGGGGGCTAATGGCTGAGAGCTGAGAGGTGTGAATTCCTGAGAAGAGAAGTTGGCAGTCATTAAAGGTGATGGGGCTGACAGCAGGGGGGACAGGGCTGGAGTAGGGGTGGGGGTGGGTGACAGATCAAATCTGTTAAAGAACTGGTTCAAGTCATTCACTCACCCTTTGTCTCCTACAGCTTGGGGGCTTGATTTATGGCCTGATATGTTTTTAAGGCTCCTCCACACCCCACTGATGTTGCTCTGCTTCAGTTGATCCTCCATCTTTTTCCTGTAGATGTTTTTTCCATCCCTAATCTTCCTTCTTAGTTCTTTTTGCACAGCTCTCAGGTCCTCCTTGTTACCTGATCTAAATGCTCTCTTCTTCTCCTTCAGGAGAGCCTTTATTTCAGGGTTAATCTATGGTTTGTTGTTGGAGAAACGCCATACTGTCCTGATGGGTACAGTGTTGTCCACACAGAAATTGATGTAGTCCGTGATGCAGTCCGTGGTGCTGTCAATGTCCTCCCCATGAGGAGCACAGAGCTCTTCCCACACAGTGGAGTTGAAACAGTCCCTCAGAGCTTCTTCAGTCACCTCAGTCCATTGCTTCACTGTGCTCATCACAGCTGGTTCTCTGTGCACCATGGGTTTATACACAGGCTGCAGATAAACCAGATTGTGATCTGAGCCCCCCAGGGGAGGCAGAGGTGATGAACTGTATGCCTCCTTGGTATTGGCAAAAAGTAGATCCAGTGTGTTGGTATTTCTGGTGTGGCAGGTGACATACTGGGTGAAGGTAGGGAGAGTGGAGGACAGAAAAACGTGATTAAAGTCCCCAGAGATCAGAAAGAGGGCCTGTGGGTGCTGTGTTTGGAGTCTGCTGGTGGTGGTGTGAAGAACATCACAGGCTGCAGCAGCATTAGCAGAGGGTGGGACATACACCGTTATCACAATAACGTGTGAAAACTCCCGCGGAAGATAGTGTGGTCTCATACCAACTGCTAGAAGTTCAATGTCCTTTCTGCAGAGCGTCTGTTTGATGGTTAAATGTCCAGTTAAACCATCTATCATTCACAAACACAGCCACACCCGTTCCTCTCTTCTTACCACTCTCTCTGGTTCTGTCCGCACGAAGTAAATGAAAGCCGTCCATGTTAATATGTGAGTCCGGGGTTAACTCAGTCAGCCACGTCTCCGTCAGGCAGATGAG